GTGATCAGGATTAGGTCAAAACCTTGGCCCAAAAGTCCATGAATTATGACTTGAATATTTGATTTTCATTTATGTGATTTTTAATCTTTTTTCCATGAAAACCTTGCCAATTATGGAAGATCTTGTCCCCTTGAGTGATGCACGAAATCTTTAGCATGTGTGGAGTGTATTTGCTTCATAAAAAGATTTGACAACCATGCTTTGATATTTTTCTACAATTAAAACCAATTAAATGAATTAATAATAATAAAAATTCAATTAATTAATTAAAAATAAGAAAATAAATCATTTTAAGTTCAATGGGTCGTGAATAGGCTTTGGGTAAAGATTCAAGAAAGAATTTGAGGCCCATTAGCAAATTTGAAGCTTTTTAGGCAAAGTTGACTTTTGAAAGTTCCCAAAAATTTCCCAACTTCTCCAATGCATATCTTGCTCAATTTTGAAGCTATGAACATGTTCTTGGACATTTTGGAAAGGTCTTGAAGTCCTCTAACCAATTCCTTTGGTCCCATGTAATTTTGATTTACCAATCTCAAGTTATGGTCTTTGACTTAAAGTGCCTTTTTGTTGACTTTTGAAAATGACCTATAATGTTGAAATTGATAACTTTTTGTGAGAGCATTTCTTGGACTTGGAGTGTGAAGATGAGTTGTAGGAAATGTCATCCCCTTCAAAATGAGCATTGGATGGGATTTTTCTGATGAACCATGAAGAAGTTATTCCTTGGTCAACTTGCAGATGACTTTTCAGCTGTCCAAAAATAGAAACTTTTGCATCTTGAGACTTTTTGAGCCATGCTTGTGGAATCATGATCAAGAATTGATCAGATGATGATTGTGGCTTCAAAATAAGATGTTGACCAAAATTTTTGACTCTTGACTGTCAAATGACCATTTTGCCCCTACAGTTGACTGTGAAGCATTTAGGGTTTTTGACTGTGCAACTTGATGCTGTGAGTCTTGAAACTTGACATATGGATGCCTGGAAATGTATGTAGGCATATGGGACTTGATTGAACCCTTGAAAAACTCAATTTCTTTGCAAGAACCAAAACCCTAATTTTGACTATGTTAGGAGGCAATTGGACTGTGCAACCCTTAGGAGGTTTTGAACCATGATCTTGACACACCTTGAAGAATATGGGAGGGTAAATTTTGGGGTACAACACATGAAAATAAATTAAAAGGGTGGAAACGAAAAGAAGAACAATGGTATGTACATGTTTGAAACGAAAAGAAAGTTTATTCACATGTTATGCTAGAAATGAAAGGTTCAAGGTTAAGAGTGACTTACCTTGCTTGAAGCAGGGGTGTGTGAGCTGGACCTTGAGTGGATGTCTTGGATGTCCCTGGATTTGATGAAAAGAAACAAAGATGAATTTTCTAATGCTGGATTCGAAAGATAAGAACAAGTGTGATGTTCTTTCTACTAGATTTGAAGGAAAACAAAATATGGGGATGTTTCTGATTCGAAATAGGAAAATGTTTAGATTCTGGGTTTGAATATGTGTTTAAGTGTTTGAGAGTGTTTGATGATTTTGAAAATTCGTTCATCCAGCCAAAAAAAGTCATCATCTGAGCTTGCAAATGCTTCTCTATTTATATAGAAAATAATGAAGGTGTTTGAAGTAACCATGTTTATATGATAACAAACCATGGTTTAGTTGAAAATGAAACAAGTCTTGTCCCTTTTCGTTGATCCCCAATTTCCAGTACAAGTGGGGGCCTGCTAGCAGGATATTTGACATATGCCTTTGACACTACTTTTCGTTCAAACACAAATCAGGTTGGGAGCTGATTTTGTGATAAAAGTACTCTTTATGAAAAAAGGGTACGTAACATTTTGCTATTTTAACCAAGAATGGTATTATCCAGTAGACAAAGCTTCAAAACTTTATGTAAGCCTCTGATCATGTAAAGATTTGGAAGCAACATAGTCTGACAAGTAGGGTAAGACTATGAGATTTGCTCAAATTTCTTTAAACAAAATTGCTTCGAATGGTCCAGAGTTGGGTTCGAAAGATGCTGATTCGAAGGGAATAAAAGTTCCAATCGAAGTCTTGTGTGAAGGTGGTTTTTATCCAGTCAACATAGGCATGCAAGCATCAAACATTCAATCGAAGCAAGCATATAGGCAGCCATTGCATTGTGAACCATGTGAGGCCAAAGATGCAATCAAAGGTGGCATGCAGGAAGCTCCTACCTTGTGAATCAAAGCCAACGTGCCAGAGGCCCACGCCCAATCGAAGGATGCAAGCCAAGCTTGCATCGAAAGATGCCAGAAGTCCAATCAAAAGAGGTGAATTGAAAGAGACTTATTTTTCTTCAATTTGTCAAAAATATTATTTTTATCTATTTTCCCCTTTTTTTAACAGCTTCCTCTTTAATTTGATGTTGAAAAATCCAATTGTACTTGTGCAAGCTTGAACTTTTGAGAATCCTTGTGAGAAATACCTTGAGAAATGAGAGATAAATTTTTGGGGTACAACACTCGTATTTCAAAAAATGACTAGAGGTCAAACTTAAATGAGGTCCAATGTCACACATCATCTACTAACCTTTGGGGTTTTTTTTGTGAGAACCAAATCAAATTTTATAAGGTATAGGTTCAAGATTACGAGGACCTTCAAAATATGTTTTCTAATCATGAGTATTTTGGGTACGACTCGATTAAGTTGTACATTATGCTCCAAGAGCCTCAATTGTCACAACCAATTGAGTCAAAAGTGGTTAATCCCATCGAAGACGAACTAGCTGAAGTAGATATCATTGACAAAGAAGAGGAAAATGAAGAGTTAGAGTTTGATAACATGGCCAACAGTGATTCCAAAGATAATGGTCTACCTAAAATACCTCCAAATGAAATATACACACCACCTTCGCACATGACAAACTTTAACATGGGCGAAGATGAACCGTCATCAAATGTTTTCTACAACCCGTATATGCAGTCTGATGAAAATTTAAAAGAGAAAGACAAATTTCATTGTGTGTGAGCTATAAAGAAGATTGTGTTTTAGTGTAGATCGAGCAAATGCAAATAGTTATAAAATCAAGTGTGTCCACCCAGAGTGTATGTTCAGGCTCACTGCATCATACAGGATGATAAGTGATTTTTGGATGATAGGATCTATGTCCACCGACACTTGCGTTAATTCTACTCAATCACAATATCATTGTAAACTAAGTTATGATCTAATATGTCAAGAAATCTTACCTCTCGTCAGTAAAGATCCGTCATTGAAGGTGAAAACAATAATCTCTAATATCACTATAGTCTACAACTATACTCCCTCATACAGGAAGACATGGTTAGCAAATACCAAGGCTATTGAAAAAGTATACAAAAACTAGGAGGATTCATACAAAGAGCACTACCTGCATACACTTTGCACATATGCTCTTGGAACGGTTTATATTATGGAAACATTATCGGCGTATGCCCTAGACGGTACTTGTGTCAATATAAATGGAATATTTCGTCGACTATTTTGGACTTTTCAACCTTGCATCACAGGGTTTACGTCATGCAAACCTATTATTCAGATATATGGAACATGGTTGTACGGGAAATACAAAGGCACACTACTGATGGCAGTTGGCCAAGATGGAAATAATAACAATTTCCCAACTGCCTTTGCTCTAGTCGAGGGATAGACTGGTGGATCTTGGAATTTCTTTCTCAAGAATCTCCGAGCACACGTGGCCCTGCAACCTGCTCTCTGTTTGATCTCTGACAGACATGCTTCTATTGAGAGTGCATACAATAATCCTGCTACTCACTCGACAACATAAAAATTATATTCACAATATATGCATTTTTTTATATCTCAACAATTTTTTTCATTACGAATATTTGTTACAACATACCAAACACAAACAAGACATAAAATGCCATCACGACTAAAACAACAACACAAACAACAGATAAACCAACAACACATACGCCACATAAAAATAACATCAACAATGCAACAACATAACTAAGAAATTACAACCGTCAAAATAATTTCATCGGATCTGTGCATCATCACCATTACGTCTGTCTGTTTTGACTTTCTCCAACCAACTGTGAGGTTTTTCAGTTGCAAGTGAGGTGACTATTCTTCTTCTCTAGATCCTTCTAATTTGCTCGCCATCTTCGATGTCTCCGTCTAACCATCGCATCAACTCTCTCTTCAGACGCTTCATGGAATAAATGTGCCAAAATTTCATTTTCATCGGAGGTTTGGTGGCCGAGAAAATAATGTACCCATCTCTCGTAAAAATCATGGGAGATGTCATGACGTAAAAAACAGAGAGAAACTCAGAAGAGAATGTGAGAAAGTGTGAAGGATGTTGGAGAAATAAGTGTTTTATTTATAAAAAATACAATTGCATGTAGGAGTCATCTCAGATGACGCCTTCTCCTACAAATATAGAGCATGCGCCATCTCATATGGCTTGAGGGCAGTGTATACACCATGTGGGATGGTGCCTAAGACCAAATTTTAAGTGGATGTGTCATTTCACTTGACTCCTACATGTTAACGTTTTCTGAAACATGATTATTTGCGTAATTTTTTCCAAAAAATAATTATTTGTGTATTTATTTTTAATACCTGGTTATTGAAAAAAAATCATAAATTATATTAAAAAAATATAGTTTGCATATCTATATATTTTTTTACAAAAACAATTAGTTTAATATTTATTTTTTCTTCATTCAAATTAAGTTTTCAACCAAATGTCTACATCATTCACATGAAATATATTATAACCCACAAAATATACTCTTATATAAGATTTGTGTTTAAAAATATAAAATATGATAACTCTTAAATCTATATAATATTTTTAACTTTATTTTACCAATGAGTACAATGTTGAAGTGAATAAAACTATGAATTTCTCAAATTTTAAATAAAAAGAGAAAAAATTAAATTTTAAAATAGAAAAGTCATTGAGTCACATATTATTTAGATCAGCTCAAATCTAGAAAGCTCAATGGGTTAGACCCAACTAAGAGAATAATCTACCACCATTGAGGTGATTGAAGTCTAGTAAAATATCCTCCGACATTGCTCTCATGTTTGGTATCAAAATATCATAGTCATCATCATCACAACTTCCAACCGATTTTGTTGATTCAGAAGTGAAAACTTGAGCATCACTGCTCTTTGGCTCATCAAACTGCAACATCATCACATCAGATGAACTCAAGTTTCCGACATTTGAAGACGGTACATCTTCTTGGGAAACAAGCAAATGTTTTTTTGTAAGTTCATTTTCTGGATATAGGACTTTTGATTGAGTTGAGGATGACTCAACACCTTTAGCAGTAGATAATACTCTCTTTGATGAATTGTTTCGGGAAGTACCAATGATAGATCTATCGTTACATTTTGGCTCTTTATGATTGTGTTGTCCTTTATACGTCACAACATAAGTGTTATCTTTGTTTTTGCTTTTTTCTACTAGTTTTTTTGCTGGACAGTCATTGAAGCTGCTACATTTGTAGTAGCTCCTGCAAAATTAAAACAAATTTATTATTTTTAATATGAAATAAAAAATATGTTAAAGTTTGAGTTTATAATTTATAAAAACCTTGGATGTGAAGACCCTTTGATGATTTTTTCTCCATATTTTCTCCATGTCCACGGATCTTCTTTGATCTTCTCTACACTCAAATGGCACTCCAAAGTCTTGGTGTTTTTATTCTTCCTGTAAAAAACAAAAAGTAAATTGTTTTTAGAACGAAATGCATGTGTTATATATACAAGTTGGAAATAATGAAGCGTAAAAAGATTGATTAATGATATGAATAAAAATGATACCTTTTCCAAGATTTTCGTTTTGAATGGTGTGAAAGTGTATTTGGTACAATCCCAAAACGAGTTCGGGGTTCTTGAATTGGTAGTTGATTGCGCTCTCTCTGGAGTTCATGGAGAACCGATGGATGGTTGTATGCAAAATCAAAATGTTGAGTTGTAATTTCAACGTAGGCAGCAGGTTTTGGGAAAACCATTTGATTGTTGTCGTTTGGCGTAATTTGTTGTTGTCCGACAAATATTGGAAAATCCAAAACAGTAGGATAATGGTTGGTTTCATTAATACTAGTGTTAATGTTAGGAATTGGGTTATTTTCATGGGACAAAGTAAAATCATCAAAGTAAAATGGGGTGTGAGGTGAGGTTTCAAAAATAGAGGAAGGAGGAGTTAAGGTGCTAGTTTTGCAGCTACGCACAATAGAAAAGAGATCCCAATCAACATTAGCCATGGGAGCAAAATATATTATTTTATATATATATATAAACAAAGAGGAGCAAGATATTACTGAAGATTTTATAACTATTTATAAGAAGAAAATACTTTTTTTTAAACAAAAATAATAATAATAAAATTATTGATATTTCCGAAGACAATTATGACTCTTAAATTTATATTTTTTCTTTTTCTTTTTAATTTTTTTCTCACTCATTAATGACAGTTTTTTTTTCTTAGTTTTTGATTTTTTTCACTCATTAATATATAAAAATTATTAATTTATAAATATAAATGATGTGTTTACAAAAAATAAATAAATAAATTTTGCTTTACAATAGTTTAATTTAAAATAAAAGATTGAAATTTAATATTTAATTATATAATTTTTTCTCTCAATTATTTTCATTTATGAAAAAAAATGATCACTTGATAAGATATTAAATCTCAATCTCTTATTTTAAATCAAATAATTGTTATCTCTTTCTCTGATCTGATTATTTTTTCTCACGGTAAATATATATATATATATATATATATATATATATATATATATATATATATATATATATATATATATATATATATATATATATATATATATATATATATATATATATATATATATATATATATATATATATATATATTATGAGCTTTTAATTACGATAGAAAAATTATTTTAATTTATTAGTATAACTTTTTATATTGGTCGAGAAGCGAACTTATAGTCAAATAAACGCTTTTCTGAATAGAGAAATATGATGATCAAAGTTTTAAAATCACAATATCAACTTAATTAATTTAAAAAAAATATATTGTAAAATCAAATCTAATCAATTTAAAAAAAAATATATATATATAGAAAGACATAATTAAAATTTATAAAGTTAGCTAATTTAAATTAAATTTTATGATACACCATTATAAAATTGTGAATAAAATTTTTAAATTAAATTCTCATTTCTATTTTTTGGCATAAAAAAGTGTTTATAATAATTAAATTTAATTTTAGAAAAAATATTTGTTTGTCCTGTATCTTAATGTCAAAGTTCATTTTTGTGTCCTTTAATTTAAAAAAAAAATTCATATTAGTATTTTAATTTTTTAAAACACTTTATTTTAATTTTTTTTATTTAATTAACATTAAATTTAACGATCGATTTTTGAATTTATTCATTGTTAATTAAACAAAAATAACTAAAATAAAATATTTGAAAGAGTTAAAAAATTAATATAAATCTTTTTTAAATAAAAAAAACTTTGACGTTAACATACCGAACTAAAAATAAAAATAATAGAAAAAATATTTTATTTCTTAATGGAACTCAAACTGAAAATTGTCTTTACACCATTAAGTTTTTTTATTTTAACATATCTCTCATTAAGTGTGAAGATAATGATTTATAGATCCAATAATAAATGCATATTTTTACATTCGAAATGAGATTTTGTGGGACTCGTTCCAATTTGTAAGAATGATGGTTTCACAAGGGATAAATTTTTTTTTTTGTTAATTTTTTGTTTATAGGTTAGGTTCGTGCACCCAACTTATTCTTCTATTTTTATTTCATTTATATTATATATATTTAAAAAATATAATATTTATTTAAATAAAAAATTGAAAATAGTATTTAAATTTATTAAAAAAATATTTATTTAGGTTAAAAGTGTAATTCAAGCATCATAAAGAGATGGAAAGTATGACTTTTTTTATATATATTTAATTCTCAAAGAAGAGAAATGAATATTTTAGGGATAGTGTAATTCAAGCTTATCAAGAAGGAAAATATAATTTACTTTAATAATAATAATAATAATAATAGGTAAAAACTCAATTTTTCTTATAAAGTCAAAGTCAATGCCAATATGCTTTTTCCCAGGCATGTTTTCCATTTATGCCACACACATGTATTTTGTGTTTGATTTTCTGACTATCAATTTTGAAACTTAATATACTAGTTTAATATAATGACTTTTAACATTAAGAGTTCTTTTGTTTTAGCTTAATTTTTTTAAAATAGATTTTTTTAAAAATATTTGTCAAAATATTATAAGTGTTTTAAATTTGATTTTTCTTTATAAATTAAATATTTAATAACATAAGCATATATATTATTGAAGACTAAAATATTGTCAAAATCGTAATTTTTCAAAATGATCTACCTTAGAAATAATTTTTATTAAATTATTTAAAATAATTGCAAATTTAAATAATTTTTTAAAATTTTAATATCTAAAAATATCTATAATAAAAAAATAAAATATCTAAAATAATATTCTAAAATAATATTTTAAAAATAATTATTTAAATTAATTTCTCATTTGAATTTTTACAAAAATTCTTTATTCTTTTTTTAACAAAAAATATATTACACTATAAATATTATTTTTAAAAGGGATAAATATACGATATCTTCTATAATATAGACGAGTTTCGCTCTACGGTTTCTATAATTTTTTTTTTTTGAATTTTCTTTGTAATATATATATATTTTTTAAATTTCATCCTAAACATATAATTTGAACACTGAATTTAGGAGTAAATAAAAATATATATATCACAAAAGTAATTTGTGCACTTAAAGGAAAAAACATAAAATTTTAACATTTAAAAAAAAATACAAATTTTTTACAAAAGATAAACTGAATCTCGTCTATATTATAGATATATTATATATTTAAATCTTTTTTTTAAAAAACTAAAACTAACAGGTACTAAAAGTATTCTTATTTCTAAAAAAATATTTTTTCCTTAAATTCAAACATTAGAGTAATATATTATATTATTCATCTAGAATAAACAATTTTTATTATTTAAAATATACTTACAAAATATGCTACTATTCATATATTCTATTTTGACTATTTTGATTATTTAATTTTAAGAGTTAAATTTGCATACATATACTAATAATAAAATATTTTTATATGCGTATTTATTAAGATATCACTATTCAACTATTAGAGTAATGCTTTTTTTTTTTTTTAAATTCTGCTACAACCATAAAAACATTTGTAATTAAAAAAAACTATTTCGCAAACAAAATGAGATAAAAATTCATATATTCTATTTTTAGTTTCAAACATTCTTCATAAAATTAGTAAAAAAACAAATGGCAAATAGCATTGTTGCCCCCATTCCACTTGAGGATTAAAAGATCATATGAGAATTTGTATTTTTAAAATAGATTTTTTTTTATTTCAACTATGTTGACGTGACATTATATGTGTTATTTTATTTGTATTTTTAATTATTTTAAATTTTATGTATTATTTATTTTCTAAAATTATTTTCAATATATACTATTATTAAAACCAAATTGTTAGGGCAATAAATATAATACTTGAAAAGAAAAAAACTTAAAAATACAATTCATTAAACTTGAAAAAAAAACTCATAAAAAACTACAATAATTCCACAATGTGTTTGAATATTATTTTAATTTTTATGATTTTAAATGTGTTCGAATATTATTTTAAAATGAATAAATATTACACAAATTAAATATTATTAAAAAGAATACATATTTAAATCTATTTGAATATTAAAAATAACTTTCCTAATTTAATTTTGTTAACGAATGTTTTGTTTTTAAAAATAATGTTTTGTTATGTTTTGGTGTTATTAAAAATTAATTCTAATTTGTTAACAAATGTGTTTGAACAATATCAAATGTGATTTTAGTGAGTATAAATTTACTTTGAATATTTATTTTTAAAATGTATTAAGAGTTATTAAAGTGTCAAAAAGATTAAGATAATATGTTAATAAATATTTAATTTGTTAATTAAAATCTCGAATGCACATTATTTTAAATGGCGAAGTTATTCGCTCATCTATATATATATATATATATATATATATATATATATATATATATATATATATATATATATATATATATATATATATATATATATATATATATATATATATATATATATATATATATATATATATATATATATATATATATATATATATATATATATATATATATATATATATATATATATATATATATATATATATATATATATATATATATATATTAAGTCTTTAATTTTAATAATAGTTTAAATTTAAGATAAGTAAAAATGAAAATAAATAATATGTGAAATTTAAAATAATTAAAAATAAATAAAATAAAACCGCGTCAATATAATAGTCTTTAAATAAAATATTAAAAAAAATATTCGGTCAGCACGCCTAATAGGCGTGTTTGTTTAGTTTAACTCCTAAAGAGTTTTAAAAAACATAATCTTCGAATTGGCAGAATCTTAACTTTTTTTTTTTATCGGAGGTAAGGAGAAAAATGCTATTAATCCAAAAATAAACAGCATATGTAGAGTAAAAGTTTCGATGGGCTAAAACTTATTTATAAAAAGGAGAAAAAAATATAAGCAAGAAGAACATGAATCTTAGTCAGAAAAAAGTATCAAAAATGGGATGAAAAAAATAATAAATTGCAAATTATATAAACACCAAAAGTATTATTTTGAGTTACCCAAAATACTCTCACACTACTTAGAAATTAAGGTTAAAAGTAGTTTATATATAATATTTATATACTTCAATCTAATTCTAATAAGGTGTCTTTTCTAAATGACACTTCAATCTAATTCTAATAAGGTGTCTTTTCTAAATGACACTTCAATCTAATTCTAATAAGGTGTCTTTTCTAAATGACAAGATCGTGAGAGTTCTCACACTCAAAGCGAATAATACTTCATAGTCATAATATAACAGACTTGAGATCGATTGATATAAAGTGTTTTAGACTGGGCATGTCATTGGCCCAACTATCAGTGAGGTCCAATCCAAGCTTGTCAACCTGATGTGCTGAGCAGTATTTCCCCCGAGCACATCCCGACCACAGATGTCTTGTCGACCAAGACTGCTTCCCGTCAGTGCTCGTAGAGACCATCTCCAACGAGCACACGCTCCTCCCGAGCACCTTCCTCGTAGGGCTGACTTCCAACCTCTCTGGATTTTGCGGAGTCTTCATGGTC